TGCCACCAAAGTTCAGTTTCACCAATGCCACCCACGGCTTTGTCATTTCAGTTTAACTACTGCAATTCCCCCTGTTCTGGGCTGTCACAATGCAACCCTATGTCTTGCAGCCAGTGCAAAATGACATAACATGTCTGATACCAGAGGCGACCATTAGAAAATATCTTATGCCCAACTTGCATGCCTTGCAGTGGCTGCCATTTAGACCAACACATGAATCACAAACTTAGATTCTGCAAAGGAATTCATGTCAACATATGGATCTGCTTTTAGCAATCCCTTTACAAGATGAGGGCTTTATTTCCTGATGTATAATCCCTTAAACAGTATGGGATCTAGACACCCCATAGACCCTCCTCCTATTCACTGTCCTTCTCAGGCTTTGGGCTCTTCCTCAGGACATCTCCAGGTACCATGAATCAGAAGTAATCCAAAAGTCTTTAAAAAAAAACAAGGAGTACTTGTGCACCTTAGAAACTAAAATTTATTTGGGAATAAGTTTTCATGAGCTAAAATCCACTTCATCAGATGGATTTTAGCCCATGAAAGCTTATGTCCAAATAAATTGGTTAGTCTCTAAGGTGCCACAAGTACTCCTCATTGTTTTTGCTGATACACACTAACATGACTACCACTCTGAAACCAAAAGTCTTTGTTTGCCTGGTGTTTCAAGTTGCATCATGCTTTGTTTTGAAGATATAACATTCTTTCAACTCATCCAGCTGAAGATCCTTCCCCGTGCATCAATCTTATAGCATACAGGTTCTTTCTTACACATACCAGACTGCAAAACAGAAAATTGTTCTCGACCTAAAGTATTTGACAACTGTACTTGTCTAAACTTTAGAGCACATTTTGTACAACCTAGAATTTTGATATAAGCAATGGCTACCTGAGGCTGCTTTTATGTTTCAGAGAAACAATCACAAATGTTATCTCAATAGAATAAGTGATATTTTTAAATACAGCCCAATTTTAAGAGCATCTGTCAGTATTCTAGAACTCAAGGGCCCATTTTGTTTTTAGAAAGATAATTACATACGTCTATCAAACCTTACCAATTTAGAGGTATTCTTAAGACTATGTTGGATGCCCTCACCCAGAAAGGCAAAGTTGCCAGTTGTACCCTCAGAAAGCAAAAGAAGAATCAAGCATCACAAACAGAGATGCATTTCTTTCATGCAAACCTGTGTAATTTCATAGCTACTCAACTGATTAAAAAGTGTAACTGCTTCATCTATCTTAGTAATACATACTACTGACAGGTTCACTTCATTTTGCACCCAATGAAGTGAGCTGTAGCTCATGAAAGCTTATGCTCAAATAAATTGGTTAGTCTCTAAGGTGCCACAAGTACTCCTTTTCTTTTTGCGAATACAGACTAACACGGCTGCTACTCTGAAACTTCATTTTAAATATGTCATGATGTGAAAAACTGCTAGTTATATAGTTGTGACAACAGACCTCAAGAATGTACTACAGCACTTTCATTAACCAAAAAGGAAGGTGTCTCAGACAAAAAAAAAAGGAAAGCTTTTGCTAGTATGCATAGCAGCTAGTGTAACAGACTCAGTTTAACAGCTGACAGATTCATTTTATTTCTGTAAGTGGTCTTGGTGCCACTAGATGGGACAGAACACCACACCCAGAAGGTGTGTGGGTTACACTAGCACTAGATCAACTCACAATCTCTATCCATTTCTGATGCTACTACATTGTAAAAAGACTGTTAAATCATGAAGTCTTCTTGCCCTTAGTATTAGATGAGCTATGGTAAACCAGTGGTTCTCAACCAGCGGTACATGTACTCCTGGGGGTATGCAGAGGTCTTCCAGGGCTACATCAACTCATCTAAATATTTGCCTCGTTTTACAACATGCTATATAAAAAAGCACTAGCGAAATCAGTACAAACTAAATTTTCATACAATGACTTGTTTATACTGCTCTATATACTATACGCTGAAATGTAAGTACTGTATTTATATTCCAGTGGATTTTTTTTATAATTACATGGTAAAATGAGAAAGTAAGCAATTTTTCAGTAATAGTGTACTGTGACACTTTTGTATTTTTATGTCTGATTTTGTAAGCAAGTAGTTTTTAAATGAGATGACACTTGGGGGTACATGAGACAAATCAGACTCCTAGAAGGGGTACAGTAGTCTGTAAAGATTGAGAGCCACTGTGTTAAACCACATGACTACAATAAATTAAATGTATAAAAAGTTGGATTTAAATGAATAAAACAAGGAAATTCAGGCAAAAAAAAAAAAAAAAGGCAATCCTCAAGCAATCACAAACTCACCCCATAGCATCTAGAGAAAGAAGTATTGCAACACTGAACAGACAATATATATAGCTTCATCCAGCCTTGTGGCACTCCCCTGAAAGACCTAAGTACAACAGAGTGAGTTAAGGAAAGAGGGTTAGGTTGAACTCTAAATTTAATTCCTTTTGTAGATGTAAGTGACTCCGGCAAAACTATCTTTCCCAGAATATACACACACACTTACTTCCATGCATCACTGTTTCACTTTTAATCCATACCTTTCTGCTTTGAGAACTGTTTTCAGAGACAGCAAGACCCAACCAGAGTACAATATCACATCTTGGAAGGTATGTTATTCGGTTGTACAGACATAATGGCATAGTAAAGAGCCATATCAAAGAAATTATGCACGAGAGGTACCACTTTTCAAAACTTGTCATTTTGGAGATCTGCTTGTTTAAAGTACTAGTCCACATTATTTTCTCCTCCCTCTAACCCATACTGTATGTACAATATACACTGATGTCATGGTCTTCCAAGTACTCTTCGGGGCTGTTCTCATATTCACTATGTAGGACAATCTTTTATTAACTTCGGTTAGAGTCTGGCCTGAATAAGGGATAAGGCATTCAACTATTAAGAGACTACTTGATGTGATTAAAGGAATTCTGACTGGATTTGATCCTTATTTTGATGGTACTGAAATCTGAAACTTTAAACCAGTGGCACGTTAATAATCTAAGATTTAATTTAAAAAAAAAAAAAAAAAACACTCTTGCCCTCTTGGTTGTGAAGAAAATCTTCCAAACATGAATCAAGTGTAACAGATGCTATGATGTCCACCTCAATTGATGGACTACTTGAAAAAAATGAGGATGAGGGTTGTGAATCCCCACCACCCACTGATTTCATTGAGACAAGTGCTAAAACTCAATGAAATGTTACTGTCCACATTAAACATTTCATTGTTGACCATCTGTGGGAGCAAACCCAAATAGTGTGGAAAAATGTTGCTGCAGAGAAGAAAATACAGAGGGAAGGCCAGAGGAAACACACAAAGAAAAAGGGAAAAACTGGAAAAAAAGGAGCATGGGGAAAGAAGATAATCAAAGGGCAGAAGAAGCCATAATCCTATAAGGGGAGTATATTTTCCCACTGAATGGCACCACATGTGACAATAAGGAATTGAACAAATAGAAATAATTATAACTAAAAGTTTACTTACTACATAAAAGCCACATGCCACCCTTGATCTCTGTGCAAAACTTCCTTATAACATTCCACTATGGACTGAGAAGAGAATGTAGCCCTAACTTTTACTGTAATCCACGGACCATAATGGTGGGCTGGTAGTGAGGGAAGACAGGCAGCATGACCAAAAGATTAAGCCACGCCCCAAGTGTCTGCTGAGACAACGATGGACAGCAGGGACAAGGAGCCTTTTATTAGTCAAGGCCTGCATCCTGCTGGGAGCAAGAGAGACTAGGGTGGCAGCTGCAATAAAGAGGGGCGCTCAGCAGCTCCCATTTTGCAGCAGCACATACAACAAACATATGGGGGCTCCACATTAGTCAGAGGCACTCCAGAATTCTTCAGAGGAGTAACAGTAGCATCAGCAGGGACTTCTCACCCCACTGCTTCCTGACCTCATTGGAAACCTCAAATTTGAACTAGTCAAATTTCACATTTTGTTGACTGTTTTTTGCTCTTGCTTCTCTCTAACAAAACCTCCTTTGCATTAGGACCTTACTTTCTGGCCACCACACTCCCCACGCCATCAAAACTACCCCATTCGCTATTTTCCCATCTCCATTTTCCTCTTCCTCCCCACACTTAGTCTCAGACTTCCCTGCTGTCCATCAGGCCTCCTATGTACATCAAATCCATGCTCTATTTATCAATCCTCTTGTCTCTCCCACAATCTTCCCATATACAGAAACAAAAAAAAGCAACTAAAATGACATGTGCAAATCATCACCCAGACAACTTTGCTTGCATGTAGTATCTCTTTTCCCTGGCCTTCATTTGTATGTCTTTTTAGACTGCACACTCTTCAAAGCAGGGACCATGTTTTAATGTGCGTTTGGAAAGCAACCTACCACATTTTGGGCACTGTCACAGTGTAAGTAAACACCAGAACCTGAAAGCTAGTCAAACACAATGCAACACCCCCTGATGTGGATTAAAAGTGTGAAGTTATACTATAAACAAATATAGATTATCAAGTAGTGAAGAATTCGTTTGTCTCTAGAAGCCAGTTATTCATTTGATTTAATGTGAGCTTTTACTTGACTGATATTCTCATTTATTAGAAATTTGTAATATTACTTTGACTTCTATTTTAAACATTAATTCTATTATTCATCCTTTGACTGCAATCTAAACTTAAACTGTAAACTCTTTGGGGCAAAGACTATACAACACCTCATACAGAGGAATCACATTCTTAATTGTAGTCTCTAGACACTACTTTAATACAAATTAATAATCATAAACTAGGGAAACACTGAAATTCATATAATGCAGGAAATATGTAGTCAGTGTATTAGGAACTGGTATTTTTGGTCTGTTATTTCACGTGTTATACTTGTAAGAACACTTGAGATGCACTGCAGGTTTCTGAGACCCTGAAAAAACCTAGTGATTTGGAGAAGGTCAGATTTAATCCTGAAACAAATCAAACCCTTTCAGAACCACAAATGGTAAAACTAGACAAGAGAGACAAGTACCTCATAATATGAGAGGAAATCTAGTAATTTTGATCGAGACGAGATGTAGAGTAGTGGTGTCATCACCCGGCGAACAAACTTTTCAATATAAACAGCACTCATAGGGCCTTTGTATTCAATTGGTCCAAAACTAGTACCAAAAAAATAATAATACATTAAGATGAAGGTTAAGCTGCAAACACTAAATTAACAATGGAGTCCCTGGCTGGGAGTAATACACAGACACCATGCTCAGTCCCTAGAGAGCAGAGGATGTTCCTAGTGCTGATTAAGAGTAAATTCTGTAGCTGATAGAGTATCAGTGTTAAGGGACTAGAAGTGAGACCTATTCAGAATTTACTTACTGAAATAACAGAGACTCCGATAAAGAGCCTATGATTGTGTGTGATAGTAAGGATCTGGGAATTAAGACAATCTACGAGTCTTATTAAAAAAAAAAGTTGATAAAAGATAGGCAAAAATTTACAAAATGGCCTAATTAGAATGTGGAGCAATAGGCCATTCTGCTTTGTCAATACACCTCAATAGACACACATGACAGCAAAAAATACAGATTTAAAAAATCCTTGAGGATTAAAAAAGAAAACAACAAAGAATTAAACTAGACAGGTGCAAATACTGCTACTCCATCACACAAATGATGCAAGAATGAAGTAGGCTTTCACAAGTGGCACTCTGTTAACTGCCATCTGATTAGATTTAACACCACACTGAACAATGAAATAAATCAGTCAAAAGAAAGTTAGGTGTAGTACTTAAAAGCATAAAGTGTAGTCTTAACTCTCCCAGTTGCATTCCCTCTGTGGGAGTCACTTAGAACCTTGATGTAGTTTTGCACATAATTATATGTAATATATATAACATTATAAGAAAAATATTACTCTGCATTAAAAGATACCATGTATTCATACAGATTGAATTGTTCCAGAGGCAGTCCACTAGATCATGTCAACTGATATTATTACAGCTCTTGGGATTATTAGCAACATGCATTATATCAGCACACAGGAACATTATTATGTAATGCATAGGTCAGAAAAATTGATGGAAAAATATTACTCTGCATGCACAACATACAATTTTAGAAGTTCAACACCTTGGGAGAGGTAGAGGAGTCCATCCACACAGCATAAGCAATTCAAGCACACTAATCTATAATGACCTGTAAAGTGGTGTGTGTTGTTTGTTTGGGAATTTTATTTTTAAACACACACTTATACATAAAATGAAGAGTCTAAGCAAAAATCTGCTACACTAATTAATTTTGCACCCTCCTAAGTACAAAGACCACACTAATCCAAATCATACTGTGGAGAAAATATGCTGTAGAGCTTAACATGTAACTATCTGAGGGCTGGTAAATACAAACAAAAGGAAATAACTAAATCAGTTGTAACTGAAACCTTTTATTATTTTGGTGCAACTTTCTACGTGGACCCTCATATCAATTTAAACCTGGCTTATATTGATTTAGTTTGTACTGATAAATTTACAGACTCAAGATCAATCAATGATGTGTGTCGATTTCAGAGTTTGCACTGATTTAACTAAATCAGTTCTTATACCGTTTTAAGTTATTTCAGTGCAACCTGTGTATGTAGTCAGCTGAAATTCAGGGCTTGTCAGCAAATTTCAGCATTCTCCCCTCATCTACATAAAATGAGTTGAGAATTGAAGCATTAGTAAACATGCGCAAATAAAACAATGTTGTACAGTTTACATGATTAGTTGACTACTCAAGGGAGAAATGCTGGACTGAAAAAGACGGGGAGCCACAGTGCAAGACTAAGGCGCACAGGTAGAAATAGATGTGGGAGACTGCACAGCACCTGCCTCCACTGAGACTAGTGTCAGGCAACATGCTCAGTGTTATGCTCAGTGCCTTATTTTCAAGTTCAGACAAAAATCAAAAAAGAAAAGATGTAAAGGGACACTAAGGATGCCAAACTTTCACTGCATAACACTGGTAGAGGCCCCAGTTCAGAAAAAGACCTAAGCATCTGCTTAATTAAGTACATGCTTAAACCCCACTGACTTTAGTGGGACTTAAGCACGTAAGTGCTGTCCTCAGTAGGGGTGCTTTCCTGAATTGAGACCAAATGATGCTACCCACCCCCAAAGCAAGCAGGAAATATTAAAAATAAAACAAAATGATATAGGTCCAAATTCTTGAATCCTCATCTGAGGCAAACCTCCCACTGAAGTCAATGGGAATTTTGCTTAAGGACAAAACAATGGACAGGCTTTAGCCTAAGTGACTATTCACAAGAGGTGAAATTCAGCTATGACCAAAGGGCAGCACAAGGCCTATGAATCACTTAAGTCCCATTCAGACCCTGTGGCGGTGTAACTAGTTCACAGGTTTTCTGCTGGGCCTCTGCACAGGGATGAACTTCAGCTCGCAGCCCCTCTGACACACCAATGTATTACAAACCGCATCCTTGATATTTTTATGATATTCTGTCTACCAGCAATCTAAAATGCAGATAAATCGCATTTGTGAAACTCTTACCTCCGATGGTACAAATATATCACAGGAAAATAAAAGAAATGTTTCTGTTTCCTGCATTTCCCCTGGTTCCACCAGCAGTTAACTGCCACAAACAGCACCTGCAGAACAGACAAAAGGTACAAAACACATCAAAATGACTTGCTCTAGCCTGTGCTGACTGGCTGTTTGCTGCAAGCCTCTTTCTCCCCTGCCCTCCAAAATCTCTTCATCTCAGGGTCACACCACAATTTCCCCTCTTACCCTCTTTTCTATTCCCCTCCACCTCTCCCTTCAATGTCCCCTCTCTCTTCACTTTTCTTTCCATTTATCTTATCCTCTCCTAACTAAATCCATAAGCAAAATTAAAACAAAAACAAAAAAAATCAAGAAACTGACATAACATTTGTTGCCATCTCATGTTCCCTCTGTTGTTATACCCCTTCTACCACACTGTCTTTGTTTTGTCTAGTTAGATTGTAAGCTCTTCAGGGCAACAACTGTTCACAGAGTGTTTGTACGTTACGTCATTGATAGGTCTTTAAGCACTACTGCAATAAATGATTAACAATAATAATTAACTATCAAATAAAAATTTCAAACATAATTACCAAAATCCAAGATAGATGTGGTATGTGACTGTTTCTTTTCTGAAAAATGCTATGCTCTAGTTTTTTACTTCTATAACTGTGTCAAACAACCTGACTTTCTAAAAAAAGGCAAATCCAATAATTGCACTGATTAACACAGGTGCTATACACAGCTGCTATATAAAATGCACATGCAATGGACTACTGTCCAAACAATGTATAGACAATTTATGCAACTAACTGGAATTGCATCTGTAAATCCCCACCCACTGATTGGGAATATACCCTCTGAAACACAGACAGTGTAGCAATTGATTGTTATATGATTTCACCTCTCTAATTTTGTTTAAATAATACAAAGACAAAACATAAAAATAGAGCTGAAATCGCACAAACAATGAATGCCTCACTGTTAAGGGATAGGAACAGGAGCAGCAATAAGTGTTAAAAGACCCTCAACAGGATTTTATAAATACATAGTCTGGGGCACCTCCTGCCTGGCAGAAGTTCTCTCTCTGCCTCCCACCACCACATAATGCAAACCTATGTTAAAAAGATTGTGGACTGAGCTCTTCTAAAGAATCCAGGTTTCTGCTGCACTACTTCTTCTGTATACTCTGCTCACAATTTCACGTGCAGTATCTCACAGTGCACAGCAAAGAGCTCAGCAATGAACAAAACAAGCACCGTATTGTTCAAAGATTCAGAGGAGTACCAATTGAAGTTTCCAAAAAGGTGAAATATACTCTTTAAAAAAAAAGAATCAACTATTTCTTGTTGTTTGGAAAGACAGAAAGGGAATGATCCAAAGCAAGATGGAACTGGATTTTAGGTATTGATATTTAAGTAAATTTAGAAATGGTGACTTATTTCTAGACCATTCTGAGCAGAGTAGAAAAGTAATAATTAAACTTTAAAAAAAGTAGAAGAAACAGCACTCAACTGGAAGGTAAGCATACAGAAGAAGACGTTAGTATGTATTAAAAGGTGTTATGCATATAACCAACACAATCACTGGTTGGTTTTCAGTCAAGCTGACCAGGCCCTCATCATGTTTACCTGTTTCTGTTCACTATAGTTAAGGTTAAACAATGTTTCCATTTTAAACCACCTCTTTTCATATGATATTCATTTCAGGAAAAATTCACCTCTTGGATCTCGTATATTGAAAGATTGAACATATGTCCAAAATCCCTTCCTCATAATGAAACCTCCTTCGCGACTTCTCTAGGGGATAGAAGAACCACACTCTCTCTCCACCATCTTGAAGGCACAGAGGTTGCCTCTAGAAAAATATGCACTTGGGAGACTGTTTCAGTCACACGCAGATTATTAAAACCCTTCAGAAAAAGTCCAGAGCACGCTCCCACCCTTCCCCCCAAAATTAAGGAGAACCTGAGCCCATTACCAGTTCTACACTACAGACCTTACAGCAGCACAGCTGTACCGCTTCAGCTGTGCCACTGTAAGCTCTTCTGTGTAGTCGATCTATGCCGACATAATTAAACCACCCCCAACAAGTGGCGGTAGCTATGTCTGCAAGAGAGCGTCTCCCGCCAACATAACACTATCCACACCAGCGCTTTTGTTGGTGAAACTTATGTTGGTCAGTGGGGTGTTTTTTTTTCACATCCCAGCCAACGAAAGTTTTGCCAAAAAATGTGCTAGTGTAGACAAAGCCCTAAGTCTGCAGTAATTTGCACTCATTTCCTATGCTGTGGCATGAAACCCACTGATAGGAGTTTTAGGACAGCTGAAGGCATGAAGTGTCCAGAAGCTGAGTAGCAGTGTAAAGACAGAGGGAACTCTGGATTCCATAGGATTCAAGTTTTTAACTGGGAATTGGTCCTGCTTTGAGCAGGGGGTTGGACTAGATGACCTTCTGGGGTCCCTTCCAACCCTTATATTCTATGATTCTATGATTCTATGATTCTAAGTGTTTGGGAGGTTAGGAGCTGCCGCTTCTGCACAAAGGCAACCCCCGGTCCCGTTTCAAGAATTATGAGAAAATTCTATTAGTTGAAATTCACACAGTTTCCCTCCTAGAAGTGGGAATAACACATATGTGAGAGAATGGGGACCAGGGATTTTCTGCATTTAATTTAAAAATTAAGAGGACAGGCTAAACATAAGCATCTAGGTCCCGCTGACTTCCCATGGGATGCTCAGAGAAAGGCAGAGATTGGAAATGAATGAAGGCCAACTAAGCCATTTTTTAATCAACATCTTTACTGGAATTACCTGGTCTGCCAATCTGCTTGCCACTTGTTCAATTTCTTCCCTTGCTGCAATGGACTGTCCACACCATGGGGCATAGAAAAAATACAGTACAACTTCAGAATCTTGGCGAATGTAATCTGCGTAGTCCAGTTGCCCCCGAAAAAGATCAAGGACTGGGGATCTTGAGGAGAAGAAATTAACTGGAACCTTCGCTGCCATTGTTACATCTTTTGCTCGGCTAAGGGAAAGAAAAAGAAAGTACTTAGACAACATAATGCAGCACCAAAAAATATGTAAACATTCCAAAACACTTGTTTACTGAAGCCTAGCAAAGGTTATGGAATGACAAAAATCTTCAAAATTGATCCAAATGACAAAAATTTATATTATCTGGGTTAGTCCTATGACATGTCATAAAACATAGGCTTTAAGAAATAAACACTATCAGACATATTCTTGTGCGTTACGTTGTAGTGGTAATGGGGGTTAATTCAGGAGTGTGTCAGTGGGCCTCATCTTTATAGGTTGTTTGGACCTCACAGCCACTTGAGAGAAAATTTTGTGTACTTTTTATGTATTTTTTGAGAAACTAAACAAGCAAATATAAAGCTAATAAATTTGCTACACTTCCCTAAGACACTAAACAATGCAATAATCAAATTGAGGTTATCATGGAGAACAGATGAATTAATCAAGGAATTGACAACAATATAAACTGATATTAATAATTTAACAAAAACAGACTGAGAAACAAATTATTGCATGAACACAATCAATAATCAAATCATGAAACCAATGTAGCACAAAATGAATCCTAATACACACAAATCCTTAAATTCTCAAAGGAGGAATAGCATCTCTCTTTAGCGTAAGAAATAACCAGCATAAGAGGATTATTTGGCATTCTTCCCTGGCCTCCTCCTGTTTTAACTCTTGTACCTTAGGTGATAAGAGAACAGACACTAGTCAAAGTTTTGTGATGTAATATTTTTACAGACATAGCTGGTCTTCTAAATGTTCAGTATTTCTTTCTTCTATATTGTATTCTGAAGGAGTAATTAATATGTTTTACTTATTACAACTTTGTATTTTGTAAAATGTTTGCTATAGCTTATTTCATTGCAAACTCAGAACTAATCATTGAAGAGGCCAAAATTCATACAGGGCAAAACAGACACATCTCATTTTAAATGTGAAGGTACTGTCAACACGCCACTGTCTGGGCATAAATCTTATTTAAAGAAAATAACAGCCATCGGGACAAATTCACTTTCTTAAAGAGAACTGGGTTTGACTCAAAATACCATTTTAAATGGAGTAAAAATACATAGCAAACTGTTCTCTCAAGCAAACAACCAAGCAATCTAATCTCATCCCTTCCTCCTATATTGACAAATCTCTATTTAAAATTTAGATTACACTTTCTCTTATTTGGGATTTATTCTAGAATAAAGTTTATATTGAGCAATGATTAATTTACCAAACCTTACTTTTATAAGAATTAAAAAAAGAAACACACAAGCAGAATCTTAAAGATAAGAAAAAGCACTCTAGAGTTCACTGTCAGCTCATACCTCTAACTAAAACGGAAAACCTTTTCCATTTATCCCTTAATACTTATACTACTTTGTGTTCTCCTTGATGATTTGTAAGTTATTCTTTTGATTGCAAGTTTTTCATTTCTAAAAACAAGCATTCCTCATTAAAACAGTTAAGGAATTATAAAGTAGAAAATGACATACTCTAGCTAAAAGCACAGTACCAAAAATGTTATGTTACATCTGCTTAGAGCTTTTGTTATTGAAAACTTCGGAAGCTGCTTGAATGCACAGATATTTATATTAACTGGGGAATTAATTGCTGTTCTAATGCAACTAACTCACCATACTTAGGAAGATGCAAAAACGGTCCTGAAGGATGGTTTCATATAAGAAGATACATTTTGGAGAGACTATTTTAATAGTAGACTAATAACTCAGTAGAGCAATGCTGATTTAAACCAGCTGTGATTCAATCCCTACATGCTTATACTCATTCAAAAAAGCCTTCAAGTACTCAAATATTTTTGGAACTAAACTGACATTTAGAAAATGGACTGAAGACAAAAGTTAGGTATTTAAAGAGATCTTAAAAGCCATTTTTAATCAAGACAGCATTACAAATGTTGACATGAACTGATGAATCCTATTACGTAGGTATGAGCCAAAGAAGTGACTGAGTCCAGCTCATAAGGCGATAAACCAGTAAAGAAGTGATGAACAAAATCGCTTAAGATATGTGTTAACTTTGAGAAAGTGGTTAAAAATTGCCTTCACATCTCTTGCAATTTACAACAGAGAAGCTAAGTCCACAGCAGAGGACTAAACACACACGGTGAAGAAAGAGAGAGAAAAGCATTACAGAATGAGAGATGCCCAGAGCAAAAGCAGCAGTACCTGCAGCCCACAGGAAGGAACAGCAAGAACCCAAAAGCCAGGAAGAAATCTTAAACCCTGCAAGATTCCATCACCAACCCTAAAGTTTCAGTTGATACATGCAGTCTTGCATAAACACTGACAAGGCTTAGGTTAACTTTATTACTGAAATTGATTTTTACTTCAGTATTGACATATTGTTGGATCTTGACGTTTATTAATAGCTTCTTCTGTTAAACTTTGAATATCTGAACACCATATTCTTGGTATTGCTGACCAAGCTAAATCTTTTAATTTAAGATCTCTGGACTGGGTCTTCAGTTGATGTAAATCAGCATAGTTCTACTGACTTCAATAGAGCTATGCTGATTTATAACTGAGGATCCATCCTCAATTTTAATTAACTGCCTGTCGCAGATCACTAATTAAATGAAGTGAGGGTTTAAAGAGATTTTAAATTGAGATTTTAAGCAAATACTATTAAAGTGTCTTATTTTAAATGACTGAACAAGAGCTCTCCTCTCAGTTACTGAATTTCACAGTATTTACCATTGTCTATTCATAAACTGATTTAGTTGATCTGTGATAAAACAAACAGGATTCACCTTTAAACAATCTTTCTTTTCCATCAACACTCTGTCAGGATTATTTGTGATAAGTACTCATGGTCCTCCTATTATTTTGGGGGTATATTAACTTCTGCTTTAGCTTTCCTAGAGAAGAATGTTCCCTACCGGAAGCAGATCTCCTCAGGTAGAAGATGCAATCTCTTATTGGAAACTGTCCACAAGAAAGACATAACAAAAGAGATAGCAGTAGAACTGAACACACTGTTTTAGGTTGTTGTTTTTCTGATAGAATAAATAGCATTAAAAACTACTGTCCAGAAACTCTCATATATAGCGCTCTGATCCTGCAAAAACTGTATGTGCTCAGCTTTACTACTGTGCGTACCCAGACTGCTCACGGTCGTACAGTGAAGCACATTTGTAAGTATTTGCAGGACTGTGGCCTAGGTTCTTACTATACTGTAAGAATTCTCAGGGTCAGATTCTCTATCTTTTACATTGGCTTAAATACAAAATAAATGTACTGAGTTACTACAGATTTACACTAGCATAAATGAGATCGGAATCTGGCCTGTAAAGTTGTCTTTCTTGCCTAAGTCATGGTATCCCCTAAGCCAGCGGTGGGCAAACTTTTTGACCCGAGGGCCACATCGGAGTATGGAAATTGTATGGCAGGCCATGAATACTCACGAAATTGGGGGTTGGGGTGTGGGAAGGGGTGAGGGCACCAGCTGGGGGTGCAGGCTCTGGGGTGGGGCTGGGGATGAGGGGTTTGGGGTTCAAGAGGGTGCTCCAGTCTGGGACCGAGGGATTCGGATGGCAAGAGGGGGAACAAGGCTGGGGCACAGGAGTGGGTCAAGGGTAGCAGGCTCTGCGCGGCGCTTACCTCAAGCATCTCCCAGAAGCAACAGCATGTCCCCCCTCCGGCTCCTACATGAAGGCACGGCCAGGCAGCTCTGCACGCTGCCCTGTCTGCAGGCTCCACCCCTGCAGCTCCCATTGGCCATGGTTCCTGGCCAATGGGAGCTGCGCAGGTGGTGCTTGGGGCAGAGGCAGCATGTAGAGCCCCCTGGCTGCCCCTACACATAGAAGCCAGAGGGGGGGACATGCCACTGCTTCTGGGAGCCAGGCAGAATGGGGCAAGCCTCCTACCCTGCTCCCTGGCTGGAGAGCCAGAGTGGGGCAAGCCCCAAACCCCACTCCCTGGTGGGAGCTTGAGAGCCAAATTAAAACGTCTGGAGGGTCGGATGCAGCCCCCAGGCCATAGTTTGCCCACCCCTGCCCTAAGCTATAGTAAGAGCCTGAGGTGGGATGCACATCTAATATCTTGATGAAAAACAACTATTAGCTAACTATTAAGCCTACTTGTTCTTTGTTTCTCCAGGCCACAATTTTAGTAACCCTGGAATAAAATTATTTTGCACTCAACACACTAACTTAGGCATAAAAAAGCCCTTTTCATGATCACAATTACTCTGCAAAATGTCAAGTTTTTTTAGCACTACACTCACTTTAATTTGTCAAAAGTGTATGAATGGTTCTGCCTGCTTTTATGAAACAGATGCTAAATTTTCTGGGCAGGACTGTGTCTCTTCACTCATTTGTATAGTACTGAACACACTACTGGAGTTTAATATTTAGTAATAATCCTCAGTAAATATTTTAAAGTTATGGGAATCCTACGTTTTTATTTAAAAGAAAGTTTTTGGAATTCTAAACAAGAACTTTACAAAATTCAGATTAATGGCCACATATAAGAATCTAAATAGATGATGTCTTTACTATGAAACATATTAACTGATAAGATTGCTCTCTTCAAATGGGGTGCAGGAAAGGTTTTAAACTGTGAGACAATTTAAAATTTAACTAACAAAGGAATAATATTTGGCCAGCCTCCAACTGAGGGTGGGGGAGAGCGAGTAAATTTAAAAAAAAAAAAAATCAATGAAGGATGTTATGATCTGGCAGCTTTTATATTGATTTTCTCTAACTTAATTCCCCATGGACTTCTGAATACATAGCAAAGTAACTTCTATTTGTTCTCTATTTTAACCATTTCCAAACTACTAGAGGGAAAAGGAGAGCCAGGATCCACAATCATTTCAGTATCAAAAGAATAACAATAAATGCTAGTACCAATGTGAGGGGGTAAGTGAATGGTTGGACCTGAACAACCCGAGATTATACATTTATAATAAGCATGAGGTATACGGAAGAACGTTAGATGAACTGTTATGCAAACACCAGCCCATAAAAATCAGTTTAAACTTTTTGTTTAAAGGTCTGTTTTATCCACCTAATATCTATAGTCTTACACTTAAGACTTTAATCCTGCAAACACACGCATGCTTAACTTTACTGCCACGTGTACTCCCATTGAGTTCAACAGAACTACTCATGGCAGTAAAGTTAAGCACACAAGTGTTTCCAGGATCAAGGCTAAACTTGGACTTTAAACTCTTCAGAGTAGTATATGTTATACAGTGCCGAGCACAATGTGGCCCTCATCTCTAGACACTGAAGAATTTTTTTTTAAATCATATGTAAAGGTTGACACCACTGTCACTCTCTTTTTTACCCTGCCTTTCTCCTAACTTCCAAATGACCACTGCAGCAGCACTGGAGGACCATGCTGGTAGTTCTACTTTTGCAGTTAACACCTCCATAGCAGAGCTGTACTGATCAGAACTGTGTTGCTGGAAACACTATGGCAAAACCACCCACTTTTTTTCCTCCAACAACCCCATATCCAAGAATCCTTTGTCCTGTTTCAGTCCAAAAACAAGCACAATGTTTAACACATTTTTAATCTTTGTTTGCCATATATGACCAAAGTTGGCATTCATATTCAGTATAAATAGTTGTTGTACGATATATTTTAAAGTACAATTTCTACATTAGTACTGAACATCTCATGACTTGCATACTCTCTAAAGCAAGTATATATTCCATATATACAAAAATACATTAAAAGAACATTATTTAAATTGCACAGTCAAGCACTCAAAGATTAGGAAATACCAGATTTATACTTGTCTGTGCAACTTTAATTCACCCTTGTGCACCCAACAGCTGCACTGATTGAAACAAGGTCCTGTGGCAAAAATAGCATGTGAAGATATAATTAAAGACTGTACCATAAAACTTCAACACAAGGGAATAGATTCAAGATTGCACAGACAACCAAAAATCTGACATTTCCTAACTTTTGAATGCTTGATTTTGCATCCTCGGTAACATTCTATTAATGTAGTTTTTCATTTGCGATTTCCTAGGTTTGGGACACTTGGGTATTTTTTAAAATGAATAAAAGTAAAAATAAGGTTATGTGCAACTGTGACAATCTCCCCACCATGCATCAGCAAGAGGATTTGAAAGGTGTGCCTGCAGTGCTGCAGCACAGATTGCTACCCCTTGAGCTTCAGGACTTCAGAAGGGGATAGACTGCTGTGTCCAGGTGCTGATTCCAGGGGAGCCTAGCTGAGGTCTCCTCCCTCCACCTTTCACACCAACAGTTGTGGGGGGAAATAGTTGTGCCATGTGGCATCCCCAGCCACATGCTGCGTCCAGGGATCGTTGGAGGGAGCCCACTCGGCTCTCTCTTTCTACCCTACTCCTGAAGGAGGTAGGAGGGTTCCTGCTATTTGTAGTGTCCCAACAGAGGAACATGAGCTATGTATCGGGCTAAGGTTGTGAGAGGGAGAGGAAAGCCCAGCTCATTCTTTCTCTCTACCCTGCTACAGCAGCTCCAGACGGTCCCAGATGTTTTCAGAACAGTGTGGTGGTGGCCAGGCTTAGAATAATTGCTTTTAGTTATTGTTTTGGCATGCTGCCGAAGTCTTCCTCAGCTGGCGAGATAAAATAAACGGTTATTTTTAATAGTTTATATCTCAACAAAAGCTTAACAGAATTTCAAAGGACAAAAATGGCACTTCTGTATGCACAGGGCTATCTGCCCGGTGAACATCAAAGGTCTGCTGTAAACAATGGAGGTCTGAAAGCTTCTCAGAAGGTAAAGGTCGCAAGAAAGGTGATAAACAATTTAAATATAGGTGTCACTGCCAGCTTCCTATACAGTAAATTTAAATTCTACAGCTATTTACAACAGTTTTCTCTGCAGCCAGAGAGCTACAAATATTTTCATTTTGAATTGAAAGTTTAAGTTCTGTGAAAAAATGTTTACAACCTGTAGCTCCAGAAAGTAGCTTTGAGACCTATCTTGAGACCATGACCCCCCAAGGCTGAGAACCATTACACTATGACAAGCATCAGAAGAGGCATCTGTGCACCCTTCCTTGAGAAACTGTCCTATAGGTAGGGCCCTACCAAATTCATGATCCATTTTGGTCAATTTCATCGTCATAGGAATTTAAAAATCATAACTGTCATGATTTCAGCTATTTAAATCTGAAATTTCACAGTGTTGTAATTCCAGGGGTCCTGACCCAAAAAGGAGTTGGGGGGGGAGGGTCACAAAGTTATTGTGGGGGGGAGGAGGGGTTGTGGTACTGCTTCCCTTACTTCTGCAGTGCTGCTGACGGTGGCACTGCCTTCAGAGCTGGGCAGCTGGAGAGTGGCAGCTGCTGGCCAGGAGCCCAGCTCCGAATGCAGAGCAACCGCCAGCAGAAGTGCAGAAGCAAGAATGGCATGGTATGGTATGGCCACCCTAAATTCTGCACTGCTGGCTACAGAACTGAGCCCTCAGTAACCAACCGCCACTCTCCGGCCGCCCAGCTCTGAAGGCAACGCCACCACCAGCAGTAGCACAGAAGTAAGGGTGCCATGGTATGGTATTGCCACCCTTACTGCTACGCTGCTGCCTCCAGAGCTGGGCCCTCAGTCAGCAGCCGCCACTCTCTGGCCGTCCAGCTGTGAAGGCAGCGCCACCACCAGCAGTAACACAGAAGTAAGGATGGCATGATAGGTTATTGCCAACCTTACTTCTGCGCTGCTGCTGGTGGGGCTCAGCTTTCAGAGCTAAGTACCCAGCCACCAGCCGCCACTCTCTGGCCACCAGCTCTGAAGGCAGCAATGAAGTAGTAAGGGTGGCCTGGTATGGTATTGTCACCCTTACTTCTGTACTGCTGGTGGTGGGGTACCACCTTCAGAGCCAAGTACCCAGCCACCAGTCACCACTCTCCAGTCACCCAGCTCTGAAGGCAGTACAGAAGTAAGGGCAGCCCCCCTAAAATAACCTTGTAACCGCCCTGCAACTCCCTTTTGAGTCAGAACCCCCAATTTGAGAAACACTGGTCTCCCCCATGAAATCTGTATCATATAGGGTACAAGCACACAAAAGACCAGATTTCATGGTGGGAGACCAGATTTCACAGTCCATGACGCGTTTTTCAAGGCTGTGAATTTGATAGGGCCCTACCAATAGGGGAATTTTTTAAAAAACTGAGACAGGGTAACAGTGGTGGGCATGAAATATACTACCCCCATGCAATTTTAACCCTCAGAGACAGTAAGCAAAATTAGTCACCATCTGACTGTTTGTTGTCCTATGAGTAAAAAAAGAAGTTAGAAGTCTCAGTCCACTGTCTATTGATCTGAACGTCTTCATCATAAAAACCATGATCACATTTCGTACCAGCTGGCAACTTCTTAGAAAAGAAATGAGAGAGTAAACAGACATGGAAGAACTACTATCTCAACATTAGAGGTCCAGGTTGAGACCTCCAGGTCAAATTTAAGTACATTGCGAGAGATGTAAGGAATACTCTACAATGCCACTGTCTGTGCTGTTCTCCATATAGAACACTACAGTTTCTGGTGCTGTAAAGGCAGCAACTTTCCCATGTACCAATTTAAACGCAAGTAATTTTTTTAATGGAAGTCACATTTACATTATTTGAACACTTTTTTGCACTTTCTTTCTCTGGTAACAGCATAATAGAATTACCTTCCTGCCATTAGTTTATATATTTAAATAGATATACTAGGAAAGATCAAAACTTCTAAATATATTTATAGAGCATAAAAAAAATAAAAAACAAAGCAAGTTCTGAGATTGCATTTTGAGTTTCCAAACAAAATTTTAACCACACACAGCAAGATGAAAGCTACATGCACACACACAAGGAACATGTTACCACAAAGATCAAACATGAAGCAAAACTAATTGCATCTAAATCTCCATTACATGTCAAAAGTAGTTAAACAAACTTAGTACTAATCAGGTTTGGACTGAACTTTCTCTCCACAGTATTGTATAATATGGTACATCATGGGGGCTTTTACACCTTCCTCTGAAACGTGGGGTACTGGTCATTGTCAAAGATGGGATACTGGACCACAAGGATTATTGATCTATTCTCAGAGAGCAGTTCCTATGGGACAGAGCTATTAAAACTCATTTTGATTAAATGAATGCATTCAGTCCCTGTGGATAGCAGAAGAATGACATTAAAGCAGCCAGGTTGGTGTACAGAGGAGAGAAGCAGTTGCTTGGTATCCCCTTTATGGCAGAATGTTCCTAACACAATTCTTTATTAAGATACAATGAACGCAGCATGCTATGAAAATGTTTGAGAACCCCTGCATTAGGGAATCCTTGGTGCCTGTCAATGTCCTAGCACGGTTGACACTAATGTCCTTCCAGTGCAAGATCTGAGGGATGACCAGGCCTACCATTAGGTACCTTTGGGTGCACACCAGTACTAATGGGGAAGCTTAGAAATCCCAATATATTCCATTTAAGGCCTCGAGGTATAGGTCAGTGCCCTGAGAACAGCTCTGGGCCTCCCAACTCTGCATACTAAGGCCCCGCAGGGTGCATGTGCCCACAGGAGTCCTCGGCACCCCCCATTTTCTCCTGGAGAGGTTCCCCGGGGTGCGTGCCAGTGCCCAGGGAGCCCTCAACACCCCCATATTCTCCCAACAAGGCTCCTGGGGTGCCTGCCAGCGCCCAGGGGAGCCCACAGCGCCCCCGGAGTGCACGCCAGTGTCCGGAAGCCCACGGCCCGCCCCACGGCCGGGAAGCTCACGGGCCCGGTTACCTGCAGGTGACTTTGAGGGTGACCAGGAGGGCGCAGCCCAGCACGATCGCAGCTCCGCACAGCAGCTCAGGTCTCCGGGACATCTGGGCAGCACGGGACCGAGGGGCAGCGGAGTGGCCGGAGCCTCCGCATAACGACATCACCTCCCAGCCCGGGGCGGGGAGGGGCGGACGAGCGAGGCCGGGCCGCTCGCGCTCGCACACGTCTCCCTACCCCCGGCCTGTCAGGGGCTCCTGGGGCGGGACGGCTGGGGGCGGCTGCCGCGCACGAGCGAACCCAACGCCGCCACGTCTCCTCGCCCGCCCCGGCCCGGGCTCCGCCAGCCAAGGCCCCCAGAATAGGCGCACACAGGCCCGGCCCTGCGCTGCGGGAGCGCCTGGCTGAGGCCTGCCTATAGCCAAGCGCAGAGCCTGCGACTGAACCGCTGAGAGATCGTGGGGGAGGGAGCCGCACGGGCCCCCCAGCCCCAACTGAGGCCTCCTCGGTCAATAGAAATGGAGGGGAAAGGCGTTAGGAGCGCGCAGGGGGCTGGATGTGGGGTGCGTCGCTGCAGAACCCGGGGGCGTATGGCGGTGCCCACGGCCCCAGCGGTACACGCCTTCTTCCGTTTACCAATGGTTAAAACACGACCGACCCGCCACCAGAGGTGTGGACGGATCCCGTGGCGCGTAGGTGCTGGAACTAGGAGTGCTGGGAATGCTGTAGCACTCCCCTGGCTTGAAGTGGTTCCATCCTATGCAGGGTTTACAGTTTGGTTCAATGGCTTTCAGCACCGCCACTACAAATATTGTTCCCGCACCCCTGCCGCGGCGTGAATCATAGAATATCAGGGTTGGAAGGGACCTCAGGAGGTCATCTAGTCCAACCCCCTGCTCAAAGCAGGACCAATCCCCAATTTTTGACCCAAATGGCCCCCTCAAGGATTGAACCCGCAACCCTGGGTTTAGCAGGCCAATGCTCAAACCACTGAAACTCCTACCACAGCCTTCTTTTCTTGCTTTGTTACTAAACATAAGCCAAACGTCTGACCTCTGTGGTTGTGGAGATACTCTTCCCAAGCGTGAACCCATGGGTACATGGACCGAGTCGAATGTCCTCTGAATCTTCGGCCAGCTCAGGTGCCTGATCCTTTTCCACTGCTGCTATTTAGTCCTCTGTGAGCAGCAATGCAGGAAAAGCAGAGACCAATTTTTGTATTGGTCTCAGCATAGTAGATGGTTGATAAATGTTCAAGCCCTCTTTTTTTATCATTCTTGTAAGTATATAACAGATTGAATAAATCCAGGACAGGTGAAAAGAATAGAACTGCACCCTTCTGTGAAGCATTTACCCATTTGAGTACTGTCCACAGAAAATGAACTCATGCTGTTTAAGGAAGGTTGGAGGCTTTTAACAGTAAAGGGGTTTTGTTGAAACAACCTAGTTTCATGTGATTTTGCTTATCCAAGGTAATTTACAATTAAAAAAAAAAAACAGCTTACTGATGTCCTGTTGGGTTTCACGGCTAAAGGACCCTTCCCAGCCTATTGGGAGGATTCACTGAGCCCAAGTCTCAAATAATTATGGGGGACAACAGAAAAATTGACAGGAGTGAAGGTCAGAAGGTCAAAAGTAGGAAACTGGGAGGGGACACTGCTCCTCCAAGGTGTCAAGGGAGGTGGCAGATGCCACCCAGAGGAACTCTGCCCAGATGCATGAACGGAGAGAGGATTGGAAATAGGCCCCACAGTTGCAGAGAGCCCCCTCAGTCAACATCCTGTTCCTGGTATTGTAGATGGCCACTTTGGCCATCGCTAGGAGTAGGTTGACGAAGAGGTCCCATGACTTTGTGGGGCCACGGATAGGGTGTGCATATATGAGAAGGTGGGGGGAGAAGTGCAGCCAAAAATGCAACAGTAGGTCGAGGAGGAGCCGGAAAAGGGGCTGCAACCTGGCACACTCAAGGTAAGTGTGTGCCAGGGTTTCCCTCACACCGCAAAAGGGACAGAAATCGAGAACAGGGGTGAACCGGGCCATGTACATGCCTTGGCTCAATGAAGGAGCTGCCAACTAATATCTCCAATATTGTGGGACCAAGGTGGAATATAGGCTGGCCCACTGGGGTTCCTCACCCTCAATATGTGGCAATAGGTCCTGCCACTTAGTATTGGGTGGGGACACAAGGGTGAGGAAAGAGAGAGTATGGAGCTCAAGCGTGTATAGATGTGCCCTTGGCACGGTTCAAAGGCAAACCAGCTGCAGGTTGTGCTGCCTGGTCAAGGTGTGTAGGTGGGATGGCCAAGGGGCTCAGGGGACAAGGGCCCTGTGCAGAGACCCGGAGGGCCTGGGGTGGGGAGGGAGCACCCTCATGTAGGTCCCACTTGAGGTAAACCCGAGAGACAGGCGACAAGGCTGCCCTCCTCTCCTGAAATACGTGCCGGGGAGTACAAAGGGTGGAGAGCCCCATGCACTGAGCAAGCCCCAGGGGAACAGCTTGTTGATGTGGGTGGCAGGTAAGTTAACTGAAAGGAGAAAAGAGGGAGTAATATGTTGCCAAATAGAACAGAACCAGTAGAGAAGAAGTTTATTAAAACAAATTAAGACAAGTGTAATGAAGGTTAGTGTTTCAACAACTGATAGTTCAGGGACAAGCCAAATGTTCTATGTAACCTGTGTACCCTACTGTAATTTTTGTATGGACACAGAGTAAAGAGCATTTATCATGCAAGGGCTTATGCTCTATTTTTAAAGGTATCACTTGAATCCATTATGCTTTTATTTCATGGAGCACAAGGGACAGATCAATATCCAGGCTTGTTTGTAGTGTGCAAGTACTTGAACGTGCTGATTTTGCATAATGTAAAATGTATGGAACTAAACTATGGCCTGAATCTCAGTAACCACATTCAAACAGTTGAAATAATTCTTAAAAGCTTTCCCAGTGGAAACAGATCAGCCAATAAAGGAGCAGATTAAAAAGGAAGTGGGGGTTTTGGGGGAGCGGGATTAAGAAAAGCACAAATGAATGTCAGGAATGAAGCAGGCAGACAGATCTGCAGTAAAGACAAAATGCGGTAAGAAGAGAAAGATTTCATAGTTGTGACCCAGAGGGTAACCTTGTTCAGAAGTGACATTTCAGAGCAAAGTATAACTCTGGTCTTTCACTGCTGGATGGGGCCTATCTCTGAAGTGGGTTGTGAAGTAGGATTCACTTTGGGGGGGGGGGGGGGAGAGGAGAGAGAAAGAAAGATAGTTCCCAACACAAGAGGCTGGGAACCATATGATTCTAATACAAAACTTGATAGCACTTTGTCCCATTCCTCTGGGGTGGACACTTAAAAATAACCTCCTAAAGCAAGCTTTACTGCTTTATTTTTTAAATGTACTTCCTGACCTAATCCGTGTTGCCCAATGTGCGATATAAATGACCACTCAGTCTACCAGTGCAGAAAACCTATTCCTAACATTTGCCCTTTTTGGGTTGTCAGCAGCAGTTCAAAAGCAAACTATTCTAAGAAATCAGCTATAACTTGAAAATAAACTAAACATACTTGTTTAGATTTAGTTGCTCAAAAAGGTTTTTCTAATGGCCAAGTAACTGTTTCGTGCAAAACAGACGTCAATCAGAAGCTAAATGCAGAAAGTAGCTTTATGTAAAGTTATCTTTATTACAGGTAACATTGGTTCATACAATACACAATACTGACATACAAGTGTAATCTTTCAAAATCATCATTTAAACAGCAAAGACCAAGAAACAGAATTTTAACTACTTGATTTTCAAAAAAATCAATACATTTTTCTCCCAAGATCCTTTTCAGTAAATTATATTGAAATATACAAATAGAGAAAAAATACCCCATTCAACATGTATTGTAGTTAAATGGTTATTTTGCTTAAAATCCTTTTTAATAAGAAAATCCTCTTTAGCAACCTACAGAGAGATAAATAGCAAAGTTTTGTTTTAAACAAATCCTCTCCATTAAAACATTTAAAGAATTTTCATCCATAATTTTCTTCTTAGCCCAAAACACCCAGTGTGTTTTGTAATTTTACCATAAAGTTTTCATCTGAAGGACCAACACTAGGGGGGCTTCCTACACATTATAACCCCTCCCTCCTCCTCCACCTCTTTCATAACATTCTGTCCAACAGAAGGCGAATAAGCACGTAATACTTTATATCTTTTTTTTTTTTATTACTTCACCATTCTGTTTCATGAGAGCACAGACAGGTCTTCTGAATCCCCCTACATCTACTATATTTTGCTGTTCAGGAGGAACAATATATGCCAATATAAGCAGAAAATCTGCTGCTTTTCTGTCACATGCTTTTGATTACTGTCAAATTTTCAGGGTTATGCTTCCATAAGTTAACATGAATGCATCATTTTAGTATTAGTTTAAATCTTTAAACAAAAAACTATATTTTCCAAAGTCATTATCATTTGGAGCAATCAAGTGGTCTTTTCTTGCTTTGCTGAGCTTCATTCTTAGAACATCTCTTCGTTCTTCCCATTCATGGAGCTCAGCATTTCCATGTGCAAATTTACAGTTGTTTCCTTCAATGCAAGTACCAGCCATATATCTGTTTAAAAAATAAATTGGTGTGTTATAGTTTTCACAAAAGTAACATGAATTAGCCATCCAATTTTAAAAAGTCTTAAATATTTTCTACTAGCCATGTTTTTCATATAATTAGATCTTTGTTAAAAAAGCACAAATTCTCTAGAAGAGAGATTATTTTTTCTCTAAAATGAAGATGCATCAGTTCAGTTTCCCCTCTTTAATAGTCTCCGAGAACCAGGTAAGGAAAAAGTGATTGGGGGACAGGAGACAAAGCTCTGGCCTTCTAGTCCTCATTTCTCCACTTAGCCCAAATCCACCCTCCCCCAAAAAACTCATTTTAAGATAATCAATTAAATTCAGTTTGTTCCAAAAATCATCAGAATTCCTGTCTGTGACAGCCATTAGTTTTTCTCTTTATCACTAAAATGAAGATTTTAATATTGCCACAGAAAACGCCTGCCCTGTAGACCTCCAACCTTGGATCCCAGACTCCAAAGCCAACCAGGTTGGCTCCAGTGATTTAAAGATGTTAACTGGTCTACCTGAGGCCAAGTGGCTTGGGTGAAAAGGCTGTGTCCTCCAAGACGGGGTAGGAGAGTATACTAACCAGCGTTGGGAAAGCCAGCAGGCCAGTTTGGTGTGTAGGGCCCTTCGGAACATACCTGAATTTCATAGATTGCTTCCAGTGACAGTATTTTCTGGGACAAGTTAATTTCTGCCTTGCAAAGAACACCCCATAATTTCAAGATACTTTGTTACATGAGAATACTGGGTGGAACTGCATACATTTCTTGTATTCTACAGGTAATTCATTAAGGAAAATAGCAATAGCTGTGATGTACCAATGCTGTTATTTAAAGTTTCATCCTAACACCAAAAGGTTTGAACCTTTCCACATAGCTCCACATCTGGCACTCCAAGCCAAACCTTCTCACCACACATTAAAATACACTTAATATCTGGTCACTCAGGCATTCATGTTAAAATATTGCTATTTAACTGTTTGCTTTGCATAAGATTTCAACAATGCATACT